AAATATATATATTTCTTTTTTTTTTGTCCTCTTATAACCCCAGTGTATGAAGTAAAGGTAAATGATGTAGGATTTTTAAAAAACGGTCTAGAAATAAGGAAAAACATCTTAAATTAAGTGTATTTACCCTTAATTTGAGTAGATAAATGAGATAGCTTGCCAATGGAATGAATATTTTTACCCTTGAAATAAGATAATTAAATAACATGCACTAGAAATAAGACAATGCAACTGTGTTTTCTTATTTTAAGTGTACATTTATTGTTCCATTGGCAAAATGTGTCTTTTACCCCATGAATTCAAGAACAAATGCACTAATTTTAAGAAAAAATTGCTGATTTAGATTTCTATTTTTGCAGTGGCTGCCTCATGCTGGGGGAGCAAGGAGAGGGAAGCTGCTCAGGGTTGCAAAATATTGCAAGGAAATATGGAATTATAAAATCTGATTGAGAAAATGCATCGTTTGGTGAAGTAGTTAAAGGAGATTTAAAGAAGGAGATTAAATGGTCTGTGCCCAGTGTAAAGATGGCCTGAATATATCCTTAGCTGAACACCTTCTGTGTTCTCATCTCTTACTCAATATCCTGGAACTGTACAACATCCAGCCAGCATGTTGTGTCTTTGCATCTATTTCTCAAACTGCCAATCTTCTAATTTCTGCTGCAGATGGAGGAGTTTGAGGGCAGTTCTACTGGCCGGGTAACTGTATACTCTATCCAGGGCTGCCCACATTGTGTGCAGGCTAAAGCTACCCTCAGGGCTTTAGGGGTTCCAGTATGCGATGTGGATGTTGGGATTCATTCAGAACTGACGGTGAAACTGAAGGAGCTGACCGGACGCAGCACTGTACCTCAAATCTTCTTTAATAATGTCCATGTTGGGGGTAATGAAGATCTCCAAAAACTGGTAAGATGAACAAACATCCGGTGGTTTCAGATTTAACTTTATAAACCCCAGATTGATTTTGTCGTTGATCTAAGGACATGCGAAAAGGATAACTTTTATTATCTGATGTTTTACAACCTCAGGCTCCTGGGGAGCTGCAAAGGCTGGTGACTCTGGTCAAAGAAGAGCCTCTTACAGCAGATCCTCCGCCATTACCAGAAAATAATCCATTTGGGTTTCCAGATGGGGAGATAGATGGAGGTAAGCAACTTCCTTAAAGTTAGCTTTTTTTTTTTACATGATAAAAATTATATTATTCTGCAGTTATGTTTTTTTTTTTTTCCCTTAATGGAGAGTTCTGGGTGTTTTGAAATCATGTTAAACAATTACTTAATTTATGCTAGAAGCCCCAAGATGTATGTCAGGTATTAACAAATGGCCCAACTGTTTAGGAGACAGATTCTGCTGAGTCACTGCTGCATGAGGATGAGTATAAATCAGTCAGTGGTTATGAAATGGTGCTGGCTGATGTGGACACGGTGGGATTTTTATGTAGAAGCAGAAGTGGTTTTGTGAGGACATTTCTGAGGGTAGATTAGCTGCAAGTGCAAACAGAGAGGGGATACAGGAAGTGTGATACTATAAATGAGCCCCTGGCTGCTCCAATAGTGATGACCAAAGCAGAGTTACTCAGCTATAAGGGTGATGCTCCAGCTGTCCAATGATTTATGTCCCAGGCAGAATCAATATAAACAAAACACTTTTTGTCAGTAATTTTATTCATGGTTCACTTAATATACACAAAAAATAATAATGATTGATAAA